TCTCTTGATTTTTATGTCTATAGTTTCGTTTTTAAGTACTCTATCAAACCCCAGTAGCCTCATGTCTCATATTTGTGTTTTTGTTGTTCGATTTTTATGTTTTTAAGTTGTTAAGTTTTAGTTTTAAAAACAAACTTTAAATGAGTAAATGCAACTCATTTCCTGATGAAAATTCGTGTTCTTTATGTCAAAGTGTTGGTAAAAATATTACCAAGAAATTGGTGCAAAAAGAATGAAGAAAAAAGGTTAAGAATCAAGTCGTTTTCAAGCTTTTTAAGTTTAAAAAAAGTGCAGCCATGGCTGCTATTTCCTTACATTTTTTTGGTGTTGTGTTTGAACTAGGCGGCCCAACCCAGGATCCAAATTCGTTCCATGTTAAAAATATGGCAGGGAAGGGAGCGCGCGGCGGGATTTGAACCCGCAACCTCAAACATTGACTCCCAAGCCTTAACTAGTAATCTGTATACAAGACTTGTTAATTTATATGCGCACATATTGTTAATATGTGTTATAAATTTGAGTTTTAAAAATTAACATTTAACCCTTCCAGTTTCAGAATATGATTTTTCTATAAATGAAACTTTCATCAAATTTACTTGTATTTTGTAAAATGCAAACTTTGACCCTATAAATGGGAAATCGGTATTTTAGCAATACATTGCGTAATTATTTTTAAAATTTACCGAAATAGCCAAATATATTGGGGATTGGTCTATGTACTTCATTTTTATATTATTACTTTTATGAAATTATCAAAATGACCCTATAATTTGGAAATCAGTATTTTAGCAATACTTTACGTATTTGTTTTATAAAATTACCGAAATGATCCAATGTCTTGAGAATATATCTAAGTGTTATTTTAAATCTATTCCCTATGAAATTACCAAAATGACCCTACAACATGGAAATCGGTATTTTAGCAATACTTTACGTATTCGCCCCATAAATTACCGAAATGACCCTATGTCTTGGGAATTGGTATCTAAGTGTTATTTTAAATCTATTCCATATGAAATTACCAAAACGATCCTACAACATGGAAATCGGTATTTTAGCAATACTTTACGTATTCGCCCTATAAATTACCGAACTGACCCTATATCTTGGGAATTGGTATATATGCTTTATTTTGATTATTATCCTCGTGAAATTACGTGACCTCACAATTAGGGAATCAATATTTTAACAATACTTTGAGTATTGCTTAATAAAATTACCAAAATGCCCCTATGCTTTGGGATTGGACTTTTAAACATAGTTTTAATATTCGACTTATGAAATATACCAAGAATGTTCTAAATTAGGGAATTGGTTAAAGCTATACCTTTGGTATTCGGCTTCTTAAAATAACCAAAATGCCCTAGACTTGGAAAAATTGGTATTCTAAACATTATTTTGAGTATTAATTATGTTGAACTTTAAAGTTATGGAATGAACGTTATTTATATGCGTGTGACATGTTGTCACCTTTATTTACTTGCAAATCTTAAACGAGACGTTTTGGTCACAAAATATTATTTACGTTGCGAACTATTTAGTTTAGTTATTTTGGTAGAATATTTATTATTCAAGAAAATGTGAAGTATATTGCTTATTTTATAAAATGAACGAGCAACAATTAATATTTAACGACGTCACATTATTAATAATATTTTAAGAAAATATTGGAGTGAAACATGAGATATGATGTTAATAAAAGGAAAAGTCGTGTTAAGATTGTTAAGGAATAATAATCAATTTAATTATGATTATTTAAGATGCTTAGAAATGGTATAAATTATCATGTAGGTTGCCGTTTTTGAGAGAAAGACCTATCGAACGTTAACAATTCAAGGTGAGTACATTATGCGATTTTTATGGGATATATACATGATTATTACAAAAGTATTTTATCCATGATATATGCATGATATATTTATATACATATGATGATAACTTGATTATATTGATGTGCATGATATTTAAATATATGCATGATATTTAAATATATGCATGATATGAAAGGTGATGTTGATGAGAAAGATTATGATGACTTGTTATTATCAATATGATATTCAAGTATGTGTATAATGTGAAAAATGACGATGATGCATATGTGATTTATGTTATCACTTGCATGAGATGTATGTTGCATGTCTCGATGAGATTTGCATTAATGAGTGAGTATTGCAAATAAATGATATGCAACTAGTATGATTCGGTAAGATTCGTTCACCGTACGGGGTGGGTTGGACATGAAAGGAGGGCTTGCAATTCCGAGGTCTTGGAGTCCTCG